AAAACCTCCCTCTCCTGAATTTGGAGCAAGCAATCGGAAAGCTTTAATTTTATGGAATGGTTTCCTTAAGGTCTTGGGGAAAGAGCGTTTGATGGCTAAGCTGAGTTGACAAAATCCTGCAGGGGCAAAAACATGTGAGATGCGGAAGCTTTGTCCAGTGCTGCCTGACTGTGGGCAGCTGCCCTCCCGGCTGCCCGGCCCAGCCGACGCGAACCACCAGGCATTGCCGGTGTTGCGAGCCTTACCACATGCTCCCTAACGAAGGATGGGCACTTCCATCTTGCTGTCCGCGAGCCTGGGGTGGAACTGCCTGTGGGCTGGTTTTCTCTGCAGACCCTGTCTGGGCTGGGGTGGCTTTTTTTTGTTTTCTTTGGTTATTCGTGCCCATTTGTGTACTGTGAATAAAAAAAAAGGGCGGTGACTCCCAGCCCAGTGGGCTTTGGTATCAGGGAAAAAGTGCTGGTGACTGGAGCGATCCTGTGAACATGAGGCTCCTGCTGCAGCCTGAGCTCTGCAGACGTGGCTGGAGCCGACTGGCGTGCTGTGGATTCTCATTTCACGCTGGTGGATGTTTTAAAGCGTGTATTTTGTGCTCTGGTTGTTTCAGGGCCCTCTATGGGAATGCAGGCGCTGGGAGGACTTTGGCTGCAGGCGCCCAATGGCATCCGGGCTTGAGTGGCTCTTGTCCTCCTTTCCTTTTAATCTCATTCTAGCGTGACTGTGGAGCGAGAGCCGAGCAGCTCTGCTACTTTTATCCCGTAACGCGGCATGCTTTCGGCGTGGCCTCTCTGGGTGGTGAGGCGGGGGAGCCCTGCCTCTCCACTGCCCTGGCCGCCTGAAGGCACAGCCTTGAGCAGCGTGTGTCTGCGCCTCCCCCACCACGCTCCACTAACCCCCATGCCCCGCTTAGGCAGCCGCAGCCAGCCAACTGGGTCTGCTTTCTTGCTGGCTTTGTTCCCATGGAATATTGTCTCCTCGCTGCATATCCTTTTGCCTCGCAGAGCTGGCTCCGATGTCCTTGCGGAAGAGTCGCTGGGTTTTAAAAATCCCATTGCTTATTCTCGACTGACAGCTGCCAGCGACCATGTCGCCCTCAGCCCCTTCTGTCCATTCATCGCTGCGCTCCGTGCGGGCTCCGTGGAGCTCTGACAAATGCTGGCAGTGTTTTGGGCAGCTGCTGGAGCCAGAGCCAGGCTCGGGAAGGGGCCGGGGAGCCCCGAGCCCACCTGTTCCTGCACACAGGCACCCCTCTATCTCCAGGGTGTGTTCGTCACGGCCCTGAGTTGCTGTGGTCAAATTACAGACTTAGCTGCTGCCTGTGTACAGCTCAGGAGCTCCAGTTAATCTAGTAGCCTCTTAATCTTTCTTTTTGTCCTTTCTGTTGCTGTTTGTCATCCCACTGAGTTTCCTTTAAGAGTAAGTCATTCCCTGGGAAGCCAGGCGGGGTGAAGCCAGTCCTGCTTCTTCATTCCTGATGGAGCAGTGAGCGTGCAGCGATCCCAGTGCCAGCTTGCTGGAGGGCCCCATCCACTCCCGATCCCACTGTCCCCTCTGGATTTCATACTTTGAAGCGGCAATGCAGTCCTTCTCCAGGGGCTGTTGTAGCACACTGGCTACATTTGTCAGTGAGTGTGTCAAGTCAGGACATCCTAAGAGCCTTTGCTGACGTCCTTCCCGTGGTAGGGATCAGAGAGGGGAGTGAATTGTGCTCTCCTTGCACCCTAGCTTGGTTTGGGTCCTCCATGTCCCTCTCCAGCTGGGAGATCCTTTGGCCCCTGTGAAGTCTTCACGCTCTTCTGTTGTAGCACACTGGCTACATTTGTCAGTGAGTGTGTCAAGTCAGGACATCCTAAGAGCCTTTGCTGACGTCCTTCCCGTGGTAGGGATCAGAGAGGGGAGTGAATTGTGCTCTCCTTGCACCCTAGCTTGGTTTGGGTCCTCCATGTCCCTCTCCAGCTGGGAGATCCTTTGGCCCCTGTGAAGTCTTCACGCTCTTCACATCTGGGGTCCCCTTGCTACACAGCTGTTGTGTCACCTTCAATACCGTGGTCCCTGCACTCACCCTGCCTGTGCCTCTCTAGTGCAGATCGGGACAAAGGGACAGAGTTTGGGATTGTGCATGAAACTGGTCGCAGAATGAGGGTTCGAGAGAGCCCACCCTTCCTAGGCTGTGGGCTGAGGATCCTCACAGGCACCATTTCCTGAGGATCGCTGGTGTTTGTGCCTCCTGCCTCAGTTTCCCCACATGTTAAAGGAGGAGACAGCGCTGACCTTCCAGCACAGCGCTATGAGCTGTGGGGCTGATCTGCTGGGGGTTTCAGTGGCAGAGGTGGGAGGATGCCGTCAAGGCTAAGCATCTTTAGTCCCCAGCTTGTATTCGGTGTCTCGGAGGCCTGCTGCTCCAGGCTGCTGCTAATCTGTTTTGGGGCCTTAGAAAGCAACAAAGGCTTATCTGAGCCGCTTGCTGAAAATAGAAATGAGTGTCAGGAGGATGTCTCGGTGCGAGGCCCTGCCGACAGCCAGCTGGTGGAAACCTTCTCTGGGCTTTGCTGGGTGTGTGTAAAAGGCCGCCTTTGTTTCCTCCCAGCCCACACACTGACACTGCATTCCTCCTCTTGTTGCCAGATATTCAGGAAAGCTCTCGGTGTTTAATCTCTGGGAGAACCTTGGGGGATTGGAGCCTCAACTGTAAATCCTGGCTCTGCCCGCGCAGGGCACTGGGAGCTCCCGGCTGCCTCAGAGCCTCCCCGTCAGTCCTCTGTATTGACTGTGATTTCAGGCAGACAAGTGGGAGTTGGAGGAGCAGGAGGGCTGGACTGGCCCTTGCTGGGGGAGAGAAGGCATTGAGCCAAAGCTCGCTGAATTCAAAGGTTTTTTGGTGTCGACTGGAGACCTGTGTTGAATGGTGCTGCTCAGCCCAGGGCTTGGTAATGGAAGGGGATCAATAGGCTGCAGCCAGCCACGGGGCATGTTGGCAGAGAGCTGCCTCTTGGGTCTCTCCTCCTGTCTGCTCAACGTCCCCTGGAGCCAGCTGGGTTTCTGCAGGGCAGAAAGGAAGAGCATTTGGTTGCCCTCCTGCTCCCCCCCTCACTTCCTGCCTGCAGGCGAGCCTTTCTCCGCTGAGGGACTCGGAGCAGGGGCTGGCCCTCGCTCTCCAAGTGGCAAGTGCAAGAGTTAAGCAAGATGGGGAGTGTCTGCCGGGCTGCAGCCGGTTCAGCCGCCCCAGCAGCTCGCATAATTGCTCCAGGCAGGGATCGGGCTTCCCTGCTCCACTAACCTCGAGTCATCCCTTGCTGCTGCTCCATGTCTTCTGCCCATGGGTCACCTCTGTGTCACCTTGTCCTTCTGTCTGGGACCAGGGAAGGCAGTGGGTGGAGGCCGCGCTGCAGCCAGAGGCTGGGCAGCTTCTCAGAGGGGATTAAGGGGAAACGTGTTTCTGGAAGTCTGGCCCTCTGGCTGGGGTGGTTTCTGGGTAATTGAGGAGGAAGTGAGTTCGGCCATTTTCAGTCTCTTCCCCTATCAGGCCAGTTTATCCCAAGCTGGGAGACTGCTCCAAGCGTGGAGGTGTGGAGAGCTAAACACATCCTCCCTGTGACCACAGCATAAAGCAGAGCTTTAGCCACTGCCTGGCACGGAGAGTGCTCAGTCCTTGGCATGGCGCAGAGCTGGGCTGGACAGAAAGGCTTTATGAGCCCCACTGCGACCGTGTGCCTGCTGCCAGCACCCTCGGGGTGCGGGTCCCCGCTCAGATCTCTGTTTGTCTGCAGCTCTGCGGAGCCTCGCAGCACCCACTGACAGATGTGCCTGGGGCAGTGCTGGGGCCCAGGGGCACCCCGTGCCGAGGATGATTGTGTTTGCATGCTGTGGGGAGCAGGGTGAGGAGCCTTCCTCCCTTCTCCTGGGTGAAAGATGCTCTCATCTGAAAGGGTTCTGCTCACAGGACCCAGCCGAGCCGTGGGGACAGGACGCCAAGCTGAGGCGGCTCTGGTACTTGCACTGCCTGGGTCTGCAGGCTGGGCTGTGGTTGTTGCTTTATGCAGCCTGGAGGGTGGATTTGGGCTGTGGCTCAGATGCGTGCTGCTGGGATCACTGCTTAGCTCTTTACCAAGAATGCTCCCAAAGGGTTGGTTCGGGTGGCTTTTCTTTCTGCTCTGCTCTTAGCTGTCTAGCTAACGGCCAGCGTCTCTCAGCAGTGCTGTCCCAGGTGGTATATCCCAAACTCAGGATTGAAGATGCACCTCAAAGCAGCGAGATGCTGCTGGTTGCACTCACCAGTATCTCCTGGCACCTTGGTGCAGGACAGTGCCTCTTTTCCCCTGGCGTCACTGACCTGCACCAGTGTGTTTTGCTCCCCTCTGTACCTGGCTGGCTTGGTGAGAGCAGGCGATATGCCAGGTTTTTAAGGTGTGTGTGAGCTGAGACTGTTTGTGTGTTTAGGAGGCTCCTTGAAGTTGCATGTTGCATCCAGAGAGATCTTTGTGTGTTATGGGAAGCAGTGATCCTTGTTCCCAAAAGAGAGTCAGTGCTGTGCTGGGGTGTTTGGAGAGAGGCACGCTTGAGCTTTTAGCTGCAAAGGCAGCAGATGAGGAGCCCACAGCTTGGAGTCAGCTGCCCTCTGTGCTTCAGAGCTGGGCTTGCTTGGTTACGTTGACCGGGCTCTGACACCGCTCTCTGATCTCTCGATCAGCCTTTCCATCCCTAACTGCAGGGTTATATCAGACCAGGAAAGCAGTGGTGAGCCGTCACACTCATGGTTCATCTCCCGTGGGCAGGAACAAACACCAGAGAGAGGCAGTTTGGCCCTGGCAGGAGGAGGTGTTGCTGAGATTGCTGCTGCCTTGCCTGAACGGGGCATGTGCCCCTTGCCTGTGCTGCCTGCTTCTCCAGAGACCGGCAAGGGGCTTGGAGGGGTGATAGGGGCAGGCAGCAGCTGTGTGTGGGGGAAGGAGTGGGTGGTGATGCAGAGGTGAATGACAGGCTCTTCTCCTCCTCCTCAGGTGTACAAGGGCTTGGATATCATCACGAACAAGGTTTCTCCCCAGGAGCAGCGTCTGTGCAGACACCACATGATCAGCTTTGTGGATCCCCTTGTCTCTAACTACACAGTGGTGGATTTCAGAGACAAAGCCGTGGCTCTGATATCCTTTCATGCTGCGGTCTGCCTGGCTGAGCAGATATGGATTTCCTCCCCTCTACATCTAGATCTGCAACAGAGATCAGTGTTTGCGGCAGCCTTGGACTCTCCACATTGCAACCACCTCCAGTTTTCAGAGGATACTGCTGGCGAGGGGGGCTTGGAGGTGCTTTTGCCCAGGGCAGCTCCTCCTCAGGGATGGTTGGGGAAGATCTCTGCTGCACCGCA